CCGCCAACTCTTGGGCTACTCTTTTACCAACGAATAGTGGGATTGACCGTCACTTTATAACGCCCCCGTGGCTGAAAGGGCGAGCATGTTTGGTGTGACGGGGATCTGAACCCGCGACCCGCAGATTGCGAGTCGAGCGTCCTACCCACCTGGCCATGCCGGGCCCCTTCTGATACATTCAGCCACCCCAGATACCCGTGGTGGGCAGAGCACAGATAGCCCTTTGTGTAGCTTTTGTGCTTAACTTCAAACACGTAAAGAAACAGGTACATTCAAAACGTGGCACGAAGAACGTATTCTTTTCCTTGTGTGCTAATTATTTTCTGAAATGGTTTAAACATGATTCATTAACTGTTTCCTCTTTACTTATTCTTATTCTGCCTGTTTCATTAACACAGATCAAATTTTTTTGAAGTGTCTTAATTAGTATTTAGTAAATTATTCATAAATATTTACATAAAACAATAAATAGGGTAGTTAGTTTACATGTAGTGGCGCTGGTATCGGCTGTCACAGACTGACTGCACCTTCAGGTAAACTAACTATTAAAATTACCGTGACGCCGTGTAGCTCTAACCACAAAGTTACCAGTCACAGCTTCTAGCAACAAAACATGTATACAATGATAAGTCACTTCGTTACTCGAAAGATAATTAATACGATGAGATATTTTTTTAGGTTTCGTAACAATTCTGTCTAGTTTGAACACCCACCATTTTTTAGGCCTGGGGCAAAATCTAGAATTATGTAAATTGTAGAGATTATTTAATTACACCATTTCAGATGTCGAATTTGAACAGCAGACATTGTAATACATCTAAGGTACAGGAGGTCTTTCTTTTAATACTTGAACTCCCCAGCTAGGCTAACACAGTATCAAGTGAAAATCCATAAGAAATCCTATCATAATGTCAGAAACTAAAACTTCGAATTGCTACAACTAATTAATTTTTCAGTGTACACATTTCAAGTCATAAATTGTTTGTTTGTTTGTAGTTAAGCACAAAGATAAACAATAAGCTATTTGTGCTTTGCCCACCAGGAGTATCGAAACCCGGTTTGTAGCAGTGTAAGTCCATAGAGATACGGCTGTGCCACTGTACAAGTCATAACTAAATTTAAAATTTAAATCAGATATAGTTTTATCTAAAACGTCACTTTAGTTCATAGTATAAATATTTTTTCCCTCGCCTAGAAATCGACCAATTGACACCAACTACAGGGGGCGCAACGAAACTATTTGACTACAGAAAATGAGCATGTAGTTTTACTGAATAGTTTCTTAATATTTGTTTCACTATAGGGGGCGCAGTTAAAACTCTTCATAGTGCTGACTGTGATTGTACAGCCTGAAAATAAGATCTAGATGACATTTGCTTTCAAATTGTCCTTTACTTGACACTTTGTTTCATTTTTCCGCCATATTGTGACTCGAGTTTCTGACAACTTTGTGGGTGACCTTAGGTTCAAGTAAGGTCAAAGAACAACTTCATTTTTAAATATTTTTATCAGGTTTATTATTTATACATTATGTAGCAAAGGTAGCTATTTTTAGTGTTTCATGTTGGCAAATGTGTGGAAGGCATTTAAAAAAAGGTTTAATACTGCATATTACAATTAGAAATATAATAAAATAATAAAATGGACGTTTTCATAACTTGGTTTAATGTTAGTGTTTTTTGTTTTATGGTACCCAACTGTTGTCGTATTTTCCTGCTGCTTAATTTATAGAAGATTAAGCTCTGTGTTTTCTCTCCATAGTACACGCATCTTCAATTTAGCACTAATATAGTTAGTTATCGCTGCGTATATTTTCTTTATTTAAGGTAAACTCGCAAACATTTAGAAATGTGAGATCTTTACTCTGGTGGTGACGTCACGGGTCTGTTAAAGTTTGGCATGTCTCCGACACTAGAACACTAGAACACTTAGCACTACACCACTGTTTATAACAAACCAGTGTTTATGACAACGTAATATAAGGAATCGTTGTTTAGTAGTTTTCTGCGTTATCATACGTAAGTTACGTCGACGTAACACAACGTTATTAAAGCTTATCATTTAGTTGGTGTAAAATGCTAATCCTTCGACCATGCCATTTTAATTTGGAATCTTTATAGATACAAAACAGCTTCTCATTTTATAAGTTTTAACAATCCTAGAACAACTAACTAAAATGTGTGTGCTAAAATTCGCAGGAAAGATTGTGCGGATTTAAAAATAAGGGTTAGAAACCGGGTGTTAACATCTTGCTTACCTCCGCCATGTCGGTAACAGAGATAAGGAAACCTCCACACGTTACCTAGTCCGACAGCATAGCCCAGACAGGAAAGGAAAAACTCAACTTGACTTGTCCAAATTTCTCTCTTTTCATTGGTGGAATTGGTTAAACACGTCGTGCTGTTTCTAATACCGACGTGTTCATCATTTTGAAGTGACAGTTCCTAGAGTGAAGACAAAAACAATCATAGAAATATAATTTCATTAAACACGAATTTAAATCTATACTTGTCGGAAACGCTTTATCGATTTTAGATCTAAATATTTTCCAACGTTTATTTGTACAGTTTGAAGTTTCTTGGTTCGCATTCTTTGATCGCCAACATATAAATGTAAATGGTATTTACGCTTTGGTGCTGTGGGCGTATTTGGAGAGTGACGATAAAATCCTCATATTAGGTCTGACAAGAAGAACCCCAAAACT